GTAATTTCCTCCCTATTTAACCACTTGCCCATTACTATTGGTAAGTGTGTGAAGTTGAGGGAAGCCGTTTCCATTGAGAAGAGAAAACCGATTCACTTGTTTGCTTTATGCTTTAGCTTTGTGCCTTTTGGTAGTCCATTTTCTTCCTTCTTCCTTAGCCTTAGTGGCTGAACATTGAGGCTATCTTCTTCTTCACACCGAGTCCTTTGTGGGCTAACTTTTATTGGAGCAATCGGTTGGTTTGGGAGCTATTGGTTTGGGAGTTGTCGTTTGTTGCTATGTGGTGTCGGTTTGGTGTTGATCGAGCCCGGATTATTGGTATATCGAGCACCTAAAACTAACATCCACATTTCATATCTTTTGACAAAGGGGTAATTAGTACATAACGTCCTTACATTTCACTATTATTGTGGAAAACTTCATTACCTTTTTTTTTATGCATTTTCATCCTTATTTCCATCTTTCATTTTTAAAAGGTCATTTTCATCCATTTTTTAAGTTAAAAGCTGTGAAATAATGAATATACCCTTCTATTTAAATACCCCCTCCGTCTCAATTATATAAACTTGTTTTGTTTTTCACACAGATTAAAAAAGCTTCTTTAATGTTATTGAAAAATTATTTTTTGCCAAAATCTTTCATAGTTTACCCCTATTTAATTTTTAGCATGTAAAACTAAATTATTGTTGTAATTAATAAAGAATTTGAAGAAGAAGAAATGAGAGTTGTCTCATGTTTTCAAGGGAAATGTGTGTATTTGGATGATTTCAAGAAATTAGCATATTAAGTGAGAAAAATTTAATAATGGTATATTGGTAAAAGAACACAATAAAATATTCTACATTAGGAAATATGTCTATATATTTTAGATAAGAGGAAAAAAACTTAGCCTATATAATTAGGACGGCGGGAGTAAAACAAAAGGAAAAGAATGAACCAATTGCAATCATAATCCTAATTTTTTTTAAAAAAAAAATACAAATAAGTCACAAATAAATTATTAAAATGGTAATTAGCACATAATGTCCCTGTCTTTCGCTATTATTGTAAAAAAGTCCATACTTTTTTTTTTTTGTATTTTTACCTTTAATTACACATTTGATTGCGAAAGCCGTTATTCTTATCAATTTTTGAAATAACGAATATATACTCATATTTAAATTAAAATTAAAAGAAAAAGGAAAAATAAGAAATTATGTTTTCTTAATTTCTAATTTTTTAATAACTTATTTTAGATTTGTTTGCACTTTTTTAATTTTTTTTGTATTTCTAATTTTTTTTTCATAATTTATTTTGGACTCGTTTGTACTTTTTTTAAAAAAAAAATAATTTCTAATTTTTTAATAATTTATTTAGAACTCGTTTGCACTTTTAAAACAAATTGGGACTGTGATTGCAATTAGTTCTTCATTATTTTATTTAAATAGGATAATATATTATTCATTTCACATCTTTTAATTAAGTAATCGGATGAAAATGTATAGATGATGGTTTGTGTAATCAAATATATAATTAGAGGTGAAAATGTCAAAAAAATGAAAAGTGTGAATTTTTTTACAATAATATTGAAAAATATGGATATTATGTGTTAATTACCATTTTAATAATTTAATTGAGGCTCTTTTGCACTTTTTTAAGAATTTTGAGACTATGGCTACAATTCGTTTTCTTTTTAAAAAAATAAATAATAAAAGTGTATATCCGTTGTTTCACAACTTTTAATCGAGAAAATAAATAAAAATGACATTTTGCGTAATAAAAGGTCTAAATTAAAGTAAAAATATCAAAAAAAGAAAGGTAATGACGTTTTCCACAATAATAATGAAATATAAGAATGTTACGCGCTAATTACCCTTTAACAAAATATACTAAGGGTCTGTTTGATTGGCAAAGGTGAAAAGACTTTCTAATTCCATGTTAGTTGAAAAATAAAAACTCAAATATTTCATAGGAATACATTTTCCGTGAAATTAGCAAAAAAAAACAAGTTTAAAGTTGTTGTACCTTGAGATTTGAACTTCATTTCCACTTTCGTATCAAACAGTCAAAATAAAAATTGAATTTTTCGAATGTGACATTTTTCATTAAACTTAAACTAATCAAACAGACCCTAAAAATTTGATTTTTAGCAAAATCACACAAGGGATAAAGAATAAAGATATGAATACCCATGTCATCCACATGTTCACTCGAAAAATGACTCATTGGACGAGAAGAGGCAAGGAGGAAGCAATTTTTAAATTTTATGACTAGGTTATTTATTACAATACTATGGCCAATATGTGAACGTCTAATATGGTAAAATCAACAAAAGAAAAAAAAAAAATTTCTTACCAAACGTCGATATACGCCAAAATCAACAAAAATCGTTGTTATAAAATGTACCGATTTAAGCTACGCTTCAAGGACAACAACCTAACCAAAACACGCTAATTTTATTGACTTGAAATAATAATAAACAAAATGTTACTTGATGTCACGTCACATTTAATGGCACCATGTAGGATTGACGTCAATGCTTTGAACCGTATAATCATTAATGTAAAGGTCAGAATTTTGAGTGATTATCACAGGAAAAATAAAATAACTTCAATGATTACTAACATAATTACTCAAAACATGACAATTTGCTTAACTAATCCAGTAAATGATGATCCCAAATGAATAAAAAGCCAGAACTGAACCATTCAGGGTTTCATGTGCACTATACTGAAAATCTCTCCTTGATGGAGCCTCACAATAAGGATAAAGCTAGCAGACATATAAGCAGTTGATCATAAGGTTGTTTATTATTCACAATCTAAGAACTAAAAAAGCTAAATAACAGTATGCTCAGACAGCTCAGTGCGAATGTGCTTACGAGAACAGCGATATGCTGCCAAAGTTGGGAAGTCAACATCTGTAAGTTTATCAACTCAGTGGGAAGTATATCTCTTATTTTGTTAAAAACTACACGTTTAAATTGGACGTGAACATTCTACAGAATGTACTTGATGATACACAAAGACCTGCTTACCCAAAACTAATACTCATATTTAGAATAATTTTAGCCCACAAGCTGAAAAGTTAACAGTAACAAGGTCACTCGAAGGTGAAACCAAAGGTTACACTCCTACTCATATTTTATCCAAAACTCCTACTCATATTTCTATCATGGACACTGTAGGAAACCAAAGGTGAAAACATGTCTTGTATTTATAAGGAACAGGTTACACTAAACTGCGTAGGACACCTTTAAGTTTCGCACCCAACACAGTAAAGGTTAAGTTGAGTCTCGTGAGGGCTGAATGGTGAAATGCTATTCATCAAATATTTAGCATAC